CACTGGTGAGTACTTCACTGCTGAAATGTGCGGTGGTTTTTTGTGTGTTTTGGTTTTTTTTTAATACTGTCACTTACTTGGCTATGGACAAGGAAGTTCCACTGAAATGTAGTAAATGCAGCTGGAAGAATCATTCTGTTTGAACACAATAAGTAGAGTGTATATATAAGTAAAAAAGGATCTATTTTAATGCAGCTCTGTAAGGGCATTGTTGCTCTGAAGTTATTTTTCTGTCAAGAAAATATCGCAGCCTCAAATAACTGAAGTTCAGTGTGTTCCTTCTTACAAGAACAGCTTGCTGCTCACAATTTGAAATTCATTAATTTCTTCACTGTGTTCACTCTGTGATTACAAAACAAACAAAAAACAACAAAACAAAAAAAAACCCAAACAAAAACAACAAAACAAAAAAAACCCCAAACAACTGGCTTAAAAAATATAACTTTTTCCAGTCCACAATATAGTTTCTTTGTGATTCCAGTTGTAATTGCATGCTATTAGCTTGAAGAGGTTTTGCTTGTTACCAGCTGTAAGTCATAGCCGTAATACAGAAGCCATGTACAGATTGCTTTGTGATGCAAAAGGCTGAAATAAGCCACAGGAAGAAGAGCAATCACAGAGTAAACAAGGAGAGCATAATTTTCTTCTGTCATTTGGTGAAAAAGATGAAATGAAGAGTCATCAGTCCATTTTCTTTTTCCAAGGGAGATATTTTTATATGTCCACATTGTTTTCAAGAGCGCCCTGCTCTTGTCTGAGATCTCACTTCAGAACCTCTGTACTTTAAAATCCGGTCAAATAAGTTGCTCTTTCTTTCAACCAAAGAAGTTAAGGTGGAATTTAAACTTTCAAAAACTATGGTATCTGATGCATGTGATTGGAAGTATAGTAATTGAGCTAAGATTTAAATTTTTCTTTTCATTTGCAGGATTGCTGGTTAATCTCTCTCTCATTCCTGTTATGGGTGGGCTGGCTCTGTGTACAGCTACTGAAATCAGTTTCAACATTCTAGGTTTCTCGGCAGCTTTATCTACTAATATCATGGACTGGTAAGACATATAATGATAGTTGCCTATATGGAATAAAGGAATTTTGTTTATTGGTAAATTTATTGGTTATTGAAAATTGTTGCTTGTACTTGTTTTTGTATACTACATTTAAATGTTGGTATTTAACATTTATTTTTACCAGAAGATACAGTTTATCTATCGTATCTGCTGGCCTTAATGGGTTTGAAAAATAGTCCAACTCTTAGTCTAAAGGAGTCAGACCAAGCTCCTTTCTGTGGTTGCATCATGTGTAGAAAACGTATCTACCCATCTAAGGGAAACTCTTTCTCATGAATTGATTTATGAGTCCTAACTAAAGTACAGGTAAATGGTGTTGCTTTTTTTTTTTTCAGTTTGCAAAATGTCTTTTCCAAAAAACTACTCAGTGGAGATAAATACAGATTTTCGTAAGTATTAAAAATATTTCAGTTTTGATTATAGGTGGAATTTGGGCTGCACAGGGAAACCATATATTAATGATTATATCGCACCATTATTATTTTTTTTCTCAGTCTGTTTACAGAGAGCTATAACCTAAATAATTTTATCTGGGAAAGAAAACTTCCCTATGCTCAGATCTCACTGCAGTACGTTGGAGTCTCTAATCAGCTAAAACTCTCAGCATGCCCAAAATGAGTCATGTTTTCACAGAAATAAGTCCTTATTCTGCAACCATAAAACATCCCTTACCGTTATTAGGCATGCAGAAGTGAACTTCAGAACTCGCTTGATGCTTTAACGATGAAACACAAGCCAGGAGTAACATCTTGTGGTAAAATATACCTATATGTAGGTGTTTTACCACAAGATAAATTGCTAGTTTTGGTCTTGAAAACGTGTGCCTGTTATCTTCAGTCTGTCTCAGCCAACACAAAAAGCAACACAGTGTCTTCACAAGAGATTGCTGAATTTGTCATCCCCAAAGCTTGGTAGATGGCTTTTATTGCTTTTTGATATCTGTAAATAAAAGAATGATGCAGCTTTCTTCAGCTCTAAGAGAGAGGAAGCTTTTAATCGTTTTAAGCATTGTTTTTTCTCCTTTGTAGAGCCCCAGAGCTTCAGTTCTACACAAGTGCTGCTGCAGTGGTTATGCTTATTCCAGCTTGGATATTTTTCATGGTAATTTGAACTCGCTAACACGGATTTATGTTTTCTTTTTGATTTATGAGCAGAGTGTGCAGCTAAGGTTAATCTTAATTTTTACTTTTCATTCTTCCCGTTTTTCCGGAAATCACCCTGAAATGCATTTCATCTATGTTTGCAAGAGACTGGGATGGGTAAAAAGAGAAAAATTTCAAATAAATCATTTAGTACAGACACAAGTTGACAAGTGACTCAGAAAGCCTGAGTTTATCTCAGAAGCTTTGAGAACAAATCATAATTTTGTCTAAGTGCATTTGAAGTTTTTGGTAAAGACTTGAAAATCAAATCTGAAATATTTGTTGACTTTTTGCTGATAGTCCTGTGTTGTACAAGAGTATCAACCCTCTGAAAGCAAAATGGAGCTAAAGTAAATATAAACTATCAGATTAAATACGTATCCTTCATGTTCTGGCATTTCATTGCCATTCATCAGTGTTCAAAAAAGGAAATATCTCGCAGGCAGGCTGAACACACTGCAAAGTTCAGTCAGATGAGGGCTGTTTTTCTAATACATTGTTTTGGGATGTAAATTTGTAGGATCTAAATGTCTAGTATGCCTTAGGTCTTGTTTTGCTGAAGTTTAAAAGTAAAACTATATCTGCTTATAACCATAATAAGGTGGGTGGAAAATTACTTTTAGATTTGCTTATAAACTAAACTCTTAAAGTCCCCTTTTTTTGTTGTTTAGGATGTACCTGTGATTGGGAAAAGTGGGAGGAGCTTCAGCTACAACCAAGATATTGTCATACTTCTTTTAATAGATGGAGTCTTGTTTCACCTACAAAGTGTTACAGCCTATGCCTTGATGGGAAAAATTTCTCCTGTGACTTTCAGGTAAAACTATTTTCATGTCAAGAACACTATTTTCTTTTTTTTTTTTTTTCTTGCTCAGTATTTCTGCTTGAGAACTAGGCAGTAAAGGTACTGTGCAAAGAAATAAACAATGTAAATGCATAAATGCATCAAATTAAGAAGAAAATTTTTCACGTCTGGATCACCAGAACTTTGTGGTTTGCTCCCTCACTGTGTGAGGAGAGCAGCATTTGACCTATGCTGTTGAGCTTATGGAATAGGTGCTTGCATTTACTAGCAGGGGTGTTGCGTTCAGGTTTAACAGCCATTCCTTAAAGCTGGTTAATGAGGCTGAATGGATTCACCAAACCCCTACATCCAGTGTTTAAGCTGCCATTTGCTTCAGTGATAAGGCAGTACCTATGTACACCTCAGTGCAGTACAGAATATGAGCAATCAGCTCTGCATTCCTTTTTTCTGAAGCAGGACACAGCAAGTCAAGCTGAATTTGTTGATACGTATTCTCTAAAGACAGCTTCCACCTACCTTGTCAGTTATCAGCTACTTTTTTAGGCTGTTACACAATTCTGACTGAATAATTTGTCATTTGTATGAATAGCCCTACGGCCTGTGGGGTAATCCTTGGTCCTAAACTCTGAAAGCTTCTGCTTACAGTCTCAGGTGCCCCTGCTACAGTCTTGTGACAATTCACTATTACACACATGCTTATTCTGACGTTGTTAGTCTTCTCTACATAACAGGATGTATTTACATGTATTCAGAATTTCTTAACTACTTGCTGTAATGATGTTGGTATGATTTAGATACTGATTCTTTTCAGGTTATAATGCTGTATTACCTGAACAGTAGCAGCACGCTCGCAAATGATAGTTATGTTGCTAGTTAGCATTTTCTGGATGTCTGTGTTAGCTAGAAATGAATTGCTAACACTGTACTGCATACTTAAAAGCAACAAAAGCAAAAACCTGAGGTGAATTATTCGTACCAGCTCTAAAATTAAGACGAGTGTAAATATACGAGTGCTGATATGCAAGAAATTTGATATTGGTATTAGCTTCAGGAGGAAAAGTGGAATCTGAGTTGGTGTTTAAAAAGCAAGCAAAACCAAGAGAGGTCCTGCTACATTAAAGCATGGTTGTGTGGGGGATATGAGAAAGCTCTCCTTGGCCTTAATTTTCATATTCCTTTCCAGTGTTGCTAGTACCGTGAAGCATGCGCTGTCAATCTGGCTCAGTATTATTGTGTTTGGTAACAAAATCACAAGCCTCTCGGCCATTGGGACCGTTCTAGTGACAATTGGAGTTCTTCTATATAACAAGGCAAAGCAGCATCAGCAAGAGACTATACACAGCCTGGCAGCTGCAGCCCTGCAACCCGCACAAAGTGCAACGGAAGATGCTGAGCCACTCATTCCCAAGGATGTGGAACCGTATGATTAATACGGCCATTTATTCTTCCAACTTGGTGTAACTCAAAGGAACTCTTCCTGAAAGTGGTTGTTTCTTCAACTGTCGATGCTGATTTGGTTCCTTTGAGTTCGTGGCAGGTCAAGCCTGGGACTTGAAGGAGAGGGAAGCAATGGGAAGCATTCAGTAAGCCTTGATTTACTGAGAAACTGGTATACCAAATAGAGGACCTCGTGTCATGGACCATGGTAAATGTGGGCTTTATTGTCTTTCCTTGACTGCACATAACGTACAAGCTTACGTCAGAGAAAGAACTTCAGTGTCTTGTGGGAAAACGATTCCTTTCTTCCTACAAATCAAAATAATGTGAAAACATGGACCCATCACTGTATTCTGCTTGCTCGCAGTGAATGAAATTGGTGCATAACTGAAGTTCTTGGTTGCTTGTTACTCTACACTGCATCCTCCGTCATTTGTGCGCGTTGTAGAGCCTGAAGAAGGAACCCCCTGCTCTCCCAACAAATGACTTATTCTGGTATGTGTTTAGTTGAAACATACTATGGAAACGAGTTCGTGGCCCAAAGCAGTGATAAGCAGCTATTTCTGATCACAAAGCGAGGAAAAAAAGTGATTTTTCTAGTAAAATTTAACATGGAAATATTGCATCCTGGTGTGTACTGACAACATTGAAATGCAAGTGTACACACATACGCATACACTGTATAAATGGAGTGTTGAATTAAATATTTGCAGTTGCTTGGAGGTAAAAAACACTGAAAAATGTTGGTGATAAAGGAAGCAGGATCTCTATATTTCTATAAGAAACCATTTTAATATTTTAATTTCCTGCATTTCATTATGTGTTTCTGTTATGAGGAAATAAATTGATGATTTTTTTAATTATTTCTAAGCGTGCAACAACGTACAGCCTTTTAGAAACTCAGGGTTATAATTCTGACCTATTTGCAAAGTATTTCTATAATTTCTGGTAAAGAATCTCAGAGGTATCTGTGACAGAGATGGAAGAGAGGTCACTAAAGGAAGGAATATTAACCATAAACAGGCTAATCTTTATTTCTGCTGCTCTTAAGTTTTCTTTTTTAAGGAAATCCTGTTTTGTGGTAGATCAAACATTAAAAGTTAACTTTCCTTTAAAAAAAAAAATTCTTCAGTATTAGTAATTAGTTTTGGCAAAAAAGCACATGTAGCTACAAAAACATTCAAATGGACTTTTCGGTAACAAAATTAAATTAGCAATTAAAATGAGCTGATTTTTAATAATTGCCGCTCTTTTGAAAGATTGTGGCCTGGCATTAGAAGCATGGATCAAGTGGTCTTTATGGTAAAAATAATTTCTGATAGCAAGTTACCAGTGAAGTTCCTGCAGATGCTTACATTTCCATACGGAGTATTCCGTTAGCTGTAGCGAACTGTTTCTGCAGAGAGCAAAAGCATGTTCCAAGAGAGTCTCTGAAGAAGCCTGGCTTCTGTTTAAACAGTGTGTGCTTGTTTTGTCTTATGCTTACTGGAGGTTACATTCCCATACGTGACTGGTTGCCTGGGACATATTCCCTGAAGATTTGAGCAGGAGGGAAAAGTCAATGTTTTTCATTGTGGTAGATGTGTTTGTGGTTTCTTTGTGCTCCTATCACTTTTACAAAAGCTGTGGACTATGGGGTAGAGCTCTGTGGTTTTTTGGTGTGTGTGGGTTTTTTTGTTTGGTTGCTTTTTTTTTGTAGTTTTGTTTGTTTTTTTTTGTAGTTATGCTTTCAGAAATCTCAGTGTATTTGGCAGAAAACAAAGTCTGGTTTGCATTTACTTCCAGTCTTGTTGGAAGACAGAACTGCAAGTGGCTTTCTGGTTGCCTAGCTCCACTCTCATCTAAAGCCCTTCGACTAATTGAGCTTCACTTTAAAAGCTAGCAGGCTTTTTGCCTTTCTATTGCTGGAAAACTTTTTGGGAACCAAACAGCTGGGAGGATTTTGGAATTGGTAATTTCCAACACATGTCTAAGCTTATTAGTTGCTGGTCTAGCCTCACCTGTTCTGTGGCAGCATGGTAATCCCGTTTTACTAGGGCTTTGTTTTCACAGTATTGATTTTATGTACTTTTCTATGTAGTCTTCTTGGCCTTTATTTTGATGAGATTAAACAAACCAGCCTCTTTACTGTCCACTTGTAAGACCTTTTCTTCCTCCAGTCAACTAGTAATTCTTTGCCATCGTTCCTGCTGGGTAAACGAGGACCACTTTGTTCTGTGTTGAGAGTTCATGGCAACATTATACCCCAGCCATCTGCCTTCTCCTTGCTTCCTGTGATGGCAGTGGCACTGCCCCATTTCTTCTGGAAAGTTCTCTCTTTAACCACTCCAAGGTTTCTTTCTCCCAGCCACACCTGATACTGGTGTGCTGACCAGACGAGCTCTGCGAGCTGCAGCTGTGTGAATCATTTTACGTTGGTCAAGTGCGTCCTCATGGAAACAGCACTTCTTCCTTAAAATGTGAATTCCTGAGGGAACACAAGTCCTGCTGGAGAACATGGACTTGCAGCTGTGAGGTGTTTCTAAAATGACATTATTTCCCAGCTGAAAAGGTGGGCGGTTAACAAAGTGGCTGTGCGTAGTGATGTTTGCTGTTTAATCGTAACCTCCAAGGGTTAACTTCACCCTGACAAGAGTGTGTTAAGTTCTGCCTGCCCCCTCTCAATCGATTTTCCTGTTCAGCCATTGCCCTTCGTACACTGGTGTGAATTCTCCTTTGTAGTCCATTAGTTCTAGTACCGATTCTGGGACTCATTGGAATAAAAACTTGGGGTTTATATGTAATAAAACCACCTCCTCGGTGACCTGACCCCCCCCCATTTTTTCTGACAGGCTGAGAGAGTTGGGGCTGTTCAGCCTGGAGAAGAGAAGGCTCCGGGCTGATCTTATAGCAGCCTTCCAGTGCCTAAAGGGGTTACAGGAAAGCTGGAGAGGGGCTTTTTACGAGGGTGTGCAGTGACAGCACGCGGGGTAATGGATTTAAACTGAAAGAGGGGAGATTTCGATGGGATCTGAGGAAGAAATTCTTCCCTCAGAGGGCGCTGAGGCCCTGGACCAGGATGCCCAGAGGAGCCGTGGCTGCCCCACCCCGGCAGTGTTCCGGGCCAGGCTGGATGGGGCTTTGGGCAGCCTGGTGCAGCGGCGGGTGTCCCTGCCCAGGGCAGGGGGTGGGAACGGGACGGTCCGTGAGGTCCCTTCCGCCCCGAACCGTTAGTGATTCCAACCACACGGACGGTGCCAAGGAGCG